CTCGGTATCGAATCTTACGACATTTGGAAATTAAACTTTTGTAACTGCTACAATTATATTTCAAATTCTAGCGCTTTTTGGCAATTTTGTGACATTCTTCAATGATTTCATCGATTTTCTGCAAAATGTTCCGATACAGCGGTTATTTTAGCCATTTCGCGCGAATTAGCTGATGGAATTCAACGCGTCTTCGTTTTATGAAGGCGACGAATCCGGAAAGCCTCAGCTGAACAGCACCGCCGTTTATAATGATGTAGACGATCAGTCCAAGGAAAATGTGCAAAAAGGTGACGATTTTATACGCGAGAATGCTGGAATTTCGATTTTTGCAGAATGGAAGCTTTCGCCGATTGTCGCCGAAGGAAATCGCTCGAAACCGCTGGTTTTCCGGAATAAAATCGGAAAAGACGGACGGAAAGAGTTCAAGACCCCTCTCCGTCATGGAAATGTACTTTTTTGTTGTGAAAAATTAAATTTGTTGCTATTTTTGTCAAATTTTTTAGAGCAGCGACCCGACGACCTCCGGATTCGAGCCGAAGAGCGAACACGTGACGACGGCGCGGGAAACCTCTTCCTTATCGTAAATTTCATAGAATGTTCCCTAAAGATCGTATTTTTAGCGCTCCAAAGCTGTCAATGTCGGCCGATTTGTCGTCGTACATCGCCAACAACAGTCTGAATCCGTTCGATTCGATTCTTCTAAATTCCCTTCATAAAAGCATTAATTTCAGCCCGCGCGTCGTGTTTTCAGTGAGCGAATTCTCGAAAGCAAGCACGTTTTGAAGATAGATTGATTTTTTGCAGCAAGAATCGTGTAGTACGCAAAAGGACGGCGAGAAATTTCAGTGGAGCGTCGAGCAACTGGCCATTTTGAAGCCGGCACACATTTCCGAGGACGAGATAGCCGCCAGCTATCGATCGCCGTAAGGATTGCGTATTTTCAGGAAAAAAAACTGAAAATCCTCGTTTTTTCATGTAATACGCACAAAATCTGAAATTTATGACGGAAAACAACGAGCTTTCCATGTCAGTTCAAAAGCTGGTCAATTTTACTGAAATTTTGCTGAAAACTCGTAACTTCTGCAATTTTCCCCGCGCAAATCGTGTATTCCAGAATCCCGGAGGTGGAGGAAAAGATCCAGGAGGCGCTGAACGAGTACTGGTCGAACAACGTGAGCTATATTCCGTCGCCGGACGGTCCCCGTTACGTTCACCTGCCGCACCGCGATGGAACCGTGACCACGTGGAAGTGCGGAGAGGGACCGTCCACTTTCGGGACCGCCGGCAATACGCCCTCCCTCAGCAAGATGGTCCGCAAGAAGGAGGCTGTAAAGGCCGCCTACGCAACCTCCTCGCCCAAACAAAGACCCCGCAGGTATGGAAATTATGGACAATTGCAGAATTTCGAACCAAAGTAACCTGAGCTTTTTCACAGAAGCATGCCCATTTTGAACATTGTTCCCGAAAAAGTGCTTTTTCCGATTATTGCTCTGAAAAAGTTTCAGGAACGTGCGTCAAATGCGGAATCGAACCTCGCAAACGGAACTGACGATTCCGCCATCGGCGGACCTGAAAGCCCTGCTCGGCGACGCATTTACGTGGCAGAAAGAGGGAGAGGAAGGCGGAGAGGCAGAGGAAGAAGAAGAGGAAGTGTTCAACGTGTCCGTCTCCTCGAACATCTCCACCCGAAGACGTCTTTTCTCGACGGACGGCGGTGAACGACGGAGGAACGAAGGGGAGGAGGAAGAGGAGGAGGAGGAGGGCGAGGTAGACCTCACCACCGACGATCCGCTGCTCAACGACTCCAATGCCGGACGTCCCTTTGTCAGTCTTTCTGTTGAAAAATCTAACTTTACTGCTCAAAATGCAACAATTTTGTGTAGAAGCTGATGAGAAAGTAGCCTGTTTATTGAACGATTTTCAATTGGAAGAATTGGGTTTTCAGCAAGTTTCTGCGAAAGGTGGTATTTGTCAGTCCATTTGTTAGGAAAACCTTTTTAATCGCAGTTTCTTCCGATTCTGAACAATCTTGTCTGCAGAACGACTCGCTATCTCCGGTGCGGCGAAGCGGCGAGAATACGGACGAGTTGGAGGCGGAAATGGACGAAGAGTCGAGCAGAAATCAGTCGGCGGCCACGCGGAGCCACGTGTCCCAGATTGCGATCAACGTGTCCATCCTCAACGACTGCATGATGCATTCGATCGACGAGCAGGAACAGGAGGAGACGGAGCGGAAGAAGGAGTCCGAGGAGGATCGGAGGGAGAGCGAGCACGACGGGGCGCCCTTCACTGACACTCATTTGCGTACGTTTTGCGGAAAAAACAAGGCAGATGGAAGGGTACTCTTGATTGCCGATGAAAATCGGTTTGTTCAAACGAAGTTTTGCGCTAAATTCTGAATCTTTCCTCAGATTTGCAGAAAACTTGCATAGCACACGCTTTCCCGAGTGATTTCTTCACACAATGGCCGTGGCCGTGTGTTTTCTTCAGTCTTCCGATCTCTTGCGGCGAGACGGAGACTGCTAGAAACTGCTGCGATTGGATGCGGGTTTCCATGGGAATCGAGGAAAAGGGAGAGTTGAAAGGAGAACGGAGACGGTCAGAAACTACGGCTATTTCCATAGAAATGACCGAATCAACGGAGTTTCTGACTGTCTCCGTCCTCCTTTCAACTCTCCCTTTTTCCCGATTTCCATGGAAACCCGCATCCAATCGCAGCAGTTTCTAGCTCTCTCCGTCTCTCCGGAATCGACTAATAATACTACCTGAGCATTTTCCAGTAGATTCTATGGTTTTCAATTAAAGCCTCACTCAGTGAGGCTTACGTTTGTTTGAAATGTTTGAAAACCTCTCCATAGTCCATGAATTTGTTAGAACTTCCAAAACTGCAGTATTTGCAGACGCGAACGAGTACGAAATGCTGGACAGATCTTCGTCGACGAACGCGACCCCTCGGCACGAAGATCTCGACTGGACGCCCCGCCGCATCGGCCCCGCGAGCGTTTTTTCGGCCACGAACAGTGCATCGCGGAGTGGTCCTCAGACGGGCGGTGCACAGGCGCAAGCCGACTTCCGGCGCTTTCTCTTCGACATGTCGCCGATCCATCCGAACGGAAACGGCGGGAATTTGAGCGGCACGAGGACGCCCATCCAACGGTGCCACGTGCTCAGTCTGCCGCGTTCCTCCGATGATTACGAGAATGAGAATGACGATGACGAGCTCAGTTGATCCACTTTGCACCCTTTCTTTTTTACACTTTTTAGGGATTCCTTGAAGAAATCGCATACTCTATCCATGTTCTAATTCGAATTTTCCGTGCCCCTATTGCCTGTACCATTCTCTGTGATTTCGCCCTTCATCAATTTGATCGTGTAGATTCGTGCTCATTCAAAAAATGTCAATTCATATATATTAATTTTATGATGATCATATCTATTTAGTCGTATTTTTATACTCAACACAAAAAAGGTTTGAATTTCCCGCCACAAATGCTCTAAAAACATATATTTCACGCTCTAACCCCTCCCCGGATCCGTTGGTTCTTGTGCCCTCTCTGTTTTCTCGATATTTTCTCTTGTTTTTCCGAAAAATCGCAAAATTCTCTGAAAATTTCCAAAACTACCCCCACACTGTCCCATTTGACTCGATCAATATCAAATGAATTCTTTGTACCTCGTTCGATAATTTTAGGGTTTTTTGTCGCGATTTCTTGAAAGTGTTTCCGACGCTTTTTGATATTTATGTCTATTCTTCAGAGTTTTCAGAGATACTATGGAAGAAAACGCATTTGCAGATGAAGCTGTTCGTGCACAACTTCATGTCGTCGCGTTTCCTGAAGAACGTGACCGTCGGCTATCCGCTCGAACTGACCGTCAAACAATTCGTGGAGAAGGACGTCGAGTTCGACCGCGAAAATACGATTCTCATGCTCGAAAGGGTACTAAATTCAGTTGATTTTCCACCTGGCACTCAAAAGCCACTGAAAATTGAGCATCTATGTAATGTTTTGTGGCCGTGTGATTCCTCGGTCTTCCGATCTTTTGCGGCGAGACGGAGAGTGCTAGAAACTGCTGCGATTTGATGCGGGTTTCCATGGGAATCGGGGGAATTGAAGAGAGGACGGAGACAGTCAGAAACTACTGCTATTCGGTCATTCCAATGGAAATAGACGTAGTTTCTGACTGTCTCCGTCCTCTTTTCAATTCTCCCTTTTTCCCGATTTCCATAGAAACTCGCATCCAATCGCAGCAGTTTCTAACACTCTCCGTCTCGCCGCAAAAGAATCTCGATTTTTGAAAAAAAAATGCAGGTTGCCGTTACCGTTGGATAAAGAAAAGGACGTGGCCCTTTGGGACACGTAGCGGTCGCGCTGACTCCTCAGTTTTTAGTCATCTAAAAGCCCTTATTTTATTAACATGTTTTCAGATCCAATACGACGGACTGCTCGTCGCGGCGGCCGCTGTTAACCAATCGGAACGGATTCCGGCGGAGAAGCCGGCCAACTGGAACGATCTGAGCGATGAGCAGCTAAAAGAGGTGATTTCCTGGGAATGTCTCTCGAAAACTCTCTAGTTTTGCTAGCTATTACCAGAATTGATACGGGTTTCAACTAGTTTAACAAACATTTAAGTTTTTGTCTGCTAGTGCAGAAAATTGCCGTAACAAAACCTTATTTTTATTGTTGCAGTTCCACCACGTGCTCATGAACATTGACGTGATCGACGGAGAACTCGTGTGCCCGGAGACGAAGACGGTCTTTCCGATCCGCGACGGAATTCCAAACATGCTCAAAGTCGAGGCTGAAAATGTACTTGCGGGCAGAAGAGTGAATTTACAGTGTATAGTTGAATTTTCAGTGAAATTGCGCATCTGGAATCCCTCAAGACCGTCAGCATCTCGTCCGTCTCCTCATCGAACTGAAATTCCATAATTTTCACATGTTTTCCTTTGTAACCCAAAAATTGTCCAATATCTCAATGTTAACCCCCTTGTTGTTGTGTTGTGTTTGTGTGTGTGCGAGAATTTGATCTATTCTACATATTTCTAAGCAAATATTCTTCATTTCGCTACTTTTTCGTTAGTGTTTCTTGTCGCCTTGAAATTCAATTTATTGCGATTCGACAATTGAGTTTTCGTCTTTTTCTCCCGCTCGAAAACGAAAAGAAACGAAGAGTTTCTCTCGATTATTGCTCTCTTTTGGGAATTCGCGTTGAAGACTTGCCAAAAATGAGCAATTGCACGATTTTCGAGCGTTTAGATTACCTCCCAGTAATCAAGATTTAAAATTTACGCGAAAATTCGAGTTTGAGCGCCCCCTCCCCCCCCGGTGGGAATTCAAATGAAGAATTTGAGTGGAAAGACCGCGAAATTAAAGGCCGCCCATCAAACATTGTTTCAATTTCGGCCCGCGCGCATCCACTCCGCATTTGCATATTTTACGAGCCATTCGTTGCCCCACAAATGTGCTCGTTTTGATCATTTCAAGTTCAACTTCAACTATTCATGTTCTCAAAGAAATTCATAGATTTTTAACCGCGAACACGACGATCAGAAGCTGCGAAACTCATTTTCATACAATTTTTGTCCAAGAAGCCTGCAAAATTACAAAATAACGAAATTTGCCAAGAACTGGCCAAAAATGAAAAACTTGAATGGATTTCAAGAGAAATTCAGTCAAACTGCTTCTAATTCTGTCTTTTATCAGATTTACAACAGATTTTTTCCGTTTTGCATTCTTCGAAAAGCAAACTCTTGATTTGAAGAAACAACTCGCCTAATTGACGTCTTCTTTTCTTTCTTCACAAAGATTCTTTCGAGAAGCTCTCTTCGAAAACGGGGCGAAGAAAGAAAAAGAAGAAGACGAAGACGAATTGGTACTTTTGTGAAATGGAATCGAGTAAGCGGGAAGAGAAGGGCGCGAAAGCGGATTAGTCTACTCTTCGCTCGTTTCACCCCACCCCATTCTCACTCACTTTTACACCGTCTCCCTACGATTTTTGTCCCCTTTTTCGGTCTCATTTAAATAAACTTGCGCTCTTTTGTCGACCTTTTCTAATCGATGACACGTTATCGGTCCAACTTTCGAGAATAAACAGGACGCTAACGAAAAAAAGGTCAATCTCGAAAGAGGCAATATTTCATTGTCTCAATTTTCCAAATTGGCTGGTCCATTCGCGGGCCGCGAGATGAATGTCAATCTGTTGAGCTCTCCATTTTTTTTCTCCTCTTTCGAGACATGAATAATAGCAGTGGAGAGATCGCAGAGAAAACGAGTCGGGCACCACCAAAAACAACATCCGAAAGACCTCCCAACTAGGGTTGGCAACGAGGCGCCCCGCTTCGGCGGGGCGCCCCACAAATGGGGCGAGGGGGCGCCCCTTCGCCCCGCGGGTGAGGCGCGGGGGCGCCCCCTCGCCCCGGGGGAGAGGCGAGGGGCGCCCCCCGCTGAGAGGCGAGGGGGCGCCCCCTCGCCCTCAGGAGAGGCGCGGGGGCGCCCCCTCGCCCCATTTGTGGGGCGCCCCCACGCCGTGGATAAAGCTAAATTTTTCAAAAAACGGGTATTTTTCAGCAGTATTCTGGGATTTCCAACATTTGATAAATAAATACGTCTGTTCTATACAAGGAAAAACAGAGTACATATAATTTTGTTATGTTTTTATTCCTATAGTCGTTCTTAATATACTTCTTACCCAATCACCATACACATATACACACGCACAAACGTCACAACTTTGCCACTTTCAGTTACTACAGTTATTACGTTGCTGCTCACGGAACCCCAGCCTTCCAATAAAAAATTCTCTTAGTGCAATTCACGTGCGCTAAACAAGGCGTAACGCGTAATTCCGGAGCGTCGTTGTAGAGTTTCTCATTTCAAATTTCCCTATTTTTTGCATTATTTCCATCTTTTCAGAACCAATCAGTGTCAAAACTTGTGATAATGATTAGAAATGAATAAAAAATGAAATTTTAACTGCTTCGTCATCAATTTCGAAACGTTTTATGTGAAAATTACAGAATTTTGCTTCCTTTTGGACAATGGACGACTCTCTCGACGAACAAGGCACAAATTTGCAAAGTGATGCTTCTCCGAATGACTCGGTGGACGCAGTGCTTCGGGAAATCGATTCCATACACTTCTCCAAACGTTCCGAGAGGCTTGATCAAATGTTAAGCGAGAACAAGCTTGACGAGGCAAGATTTAGGGTCATTCTTTGCTAATTCTTTGATTATAGGTTCGAAAAGACGAAACGTTCATCCACTTCACCTACAATGGAATAAAAATGAAGTGGGTGCAGTGCATTCATTGTAGTCAATTCATCAACGGAATTAGAGGAGGTCACAAAAGGTTAGTTTTTACCGTTTTCCGATTTCACTTCTTTTTTTCAGCCGTCACTTTAAGAAAATCTGCATTAACAGACCTACTCCAGAAGATTCGATAGATTTTTTCTCGGAAATTATGAAGTATTGCATCGCTACAGGATCAAGTTTCAACCACTTGAGCTCGGAATCTTTTCAAAATCTGGTTCGTGGTGTCTACAAGAAGATCGTGCCAAACGCCGATACAACACAGCTCAAGCTCCCGACGAGAAAGCAACTGAAAGCCGGCCTAGAAAACAAATACATCGAAGTGGAAGAAGCAATCGGCGAAAAGGTAATATTTTCCTTAAATCAGTTCCTAATTATCTAAATTTCAGGTGCGCTCTCACGTGAGGAACAAGTCTGCATCAATTTTGATAGACTTTGGTCTTCATATTGAGCACTTCCTCAGTGCCTTTCTCGTTTTTGTCGAAAAGAAAGAGAATTCCGGTATGCACAAACAGTTCGAAACAACAACCACCATGAATTTTTCAGATCCTTTCCTTCAAGTCTTGCCGTTCTGCTTCAGCCCTACCGAAAACACGAAAACGTCCGAAAATGTCCGTGACATGCTCATAGAAAGCGGTTCGAAGTTCCGACTCTCGGAGTCTGAAGTTCTTTCTCTTCAAGTGGTCAGCGACGGAGCTGCGAACCTTGAGAAGATGGGACGCACCTACTTCGAGTCTTGTAAGTTTTTCCCCTTATCAAAAAATGAAGTATAGTTTTACAGGGTCGAAATGCGGCTGCCATTCAATTCAAAAGATCAGTGAACGAGTCCTGAAGCCACGTGTGGATCTGGAGGACCAGTTCGAAGCGAGTGAGCTCGAAGAATTGGAGCAATGCCGTGATCTGATTGTTCAGTGTGCGCGCTTAGCAAGTTTCGTTCACGATCGAAAGGTAAGTGTTCTTTTTTTTCACCATTACCTTCTTTTTTCAGAAACTCATCAACGTCGACCGCCTTCCCGTTCGTTCTGTTCCGACGAGATGGCAAACAGCGGTGAAGTGTGCCAGAGACATCTCTATCCTTCTTCCCACATTGTCCACGTGCACCGATCGGAAAATCGCAAAACTAGCAACAGATCTAACAAGTCAGTACCACCGGCTCAACCCAGTGATTACGGTTCTAGAAAAGTTCGAACCGCTTCTTAATCTTTTCGAGGTAAGTCCACAGTTCCTTCGTTGTAAAAATAAAACATTTTCAGCTATCCTCCCCGACTATCCATCTCTTCCTCCCGAAACTGAATTCACTTCTGAACCATTTCAAAAATGAAGAAGAAAAAGAAGCTCCTGGAACTGTGTCTCACTTGCTTCACAAGTCCGCCCGAATCGTGGTTTCCCACTACATGGACACCGACGTATCCGACCTTCATGTCATGTCGACATTTCTTTTCCCCAAAACGAAACGGATGAGCAAGCTCCCGGACAAATATCTTGAAATCGCTATTTCGAAAGTCGAAGATCGTCTATCTCAAATCGGCGACCCACGTATTCCAGTCAACGAAAAAAATGGATGCGATGAGTAAGGCAGCTAATTTTTCTTCTAACCTAATTACATAAATTTTAGCGAGTTCGACGACATTCTTCAGCCGACCTCAAAGGAGGAAATAGCCGCTTATGTGGCTGAACTGGTTCATCCTTCTGAAGACTGCCCGTTGAAATATTGGTATAAGAATCAGACAAAGTTCCCCACACTGAGCAAGGTGGCGCTCCGATGTTTCTCCGTCTTCACTTCTGAATCCGTTTGTGAGCGGAGCTTCAGCGCCGTCAAGAACGTCGTCACCACAGACCGCAACCGTCTCAGCCCCGCCCTCATCGAAAGGATCATGATCGTTTACTTTTACACGAACAACTTCCGATAATTTCTTGATTTAAATGTTTTCTTCTTTTCTTCGTTTTATACTAATAAAGTGTTTTTTACAAGTTTTTCACAATACGTTCGAAAAAAAATCAGACACACATTTAATGGCGGGGCGAGGGGGCGCCCCCTCGCCTCACCCCCGGGGCGAGGGGGCGCCCCCTCGCCTCACCCCCGGGGCGAGGGGGCGCCCCCTCGCCTCACCCCCGGGGCGAGGGGGCGCCCCCTCGCCTCACCCGCGGGGCGAGGGGGCGCCCCTCGCCTCACCAGCGAGGCGAGGGGGTCGCCTCTTCTCGCCCCATTGCCAACCCTATCCCAACTATGTTTTTTCACTTTTTCCACTAGGTATAATATTGACAGATTAGCTGAGAATCCAATTTTTAAGTCCTACAATAGTTCTCTAGCTCGGGCGCTGAAAATCCATGTTAAAGCCATCGAAAATGGAGAGTTTCCGCTCCATTTTCTTTTTTTTCTATGACTGGACTTTAGAGAGTCGGAAACTTTTTCTGCAACTTTTATTCGATGTTTTTCACACGGAACACTCGTACGATTTTAGAGATTTATTACATGATCACTTAAAGGACAGGCGCACAGTTTTCGACAAACACATTTATCCGCGGCCAGTGTACACACTGAACGAAATCCGAAATTTCTATTTGTTTTTTTTTTTGCTGTCATCCCTTGTGATGAACACGTGGCTTTTTCCGAGAACTTTACGATATTTCGCGGGTTTTAGGATCGAATGGTGGAAATTTGAGCGGATAATTGCACTGTTTCACACTTCGCTTGACCGGTTTCGTCCCCCCACAACGGTGACATTGTTCTATCGAAAAAGTGTCGGACATTTTTAGGCCCGTCATTGTCTTACACACTTTTTTCTTGATTCACGTACTTTTCTCTCCCATCTCTCCACAAAATTGCAGGCAATTTCCAAAAGAAAGTATTTTTTTTTGGTTGGCATTCGTTAGCGGAAAATCGTGCTTTTTCTCCCACTTCCGCTATTGTTCTTTTTGCGAATTTGTGCATTGGTTCGGATTTTATTAAATTTTGTGCCGTCCTGAAGTCAGTCGAGCATAGGAGTTGTCGAAGAAAATGAGCCGATGTTGTCCGGCCACCTTTTTTTGCAGTTTGCCTAGTGAGAAGCGAATTTTTTGGGCGTTGATATTATGATTTTCGAAATCAGCGTTCAATTTCCAATCGATACATGCTACTATTATCCGTTTTTGGAACAAATAAAAATTTTTCAACATTTTCAAAATATCCCAAAAACTAGTGATATTATAGCTCAAAACACTGCAAATTTTTCGCTGAATTCGAAAATCAACATAAGAACCCTCGAAAATCGATAGAAAATGAGCTAGACGCTGAAAAAGTAAATCTCGAAAGAACCGTACACACAACTACCATAATAGTAAACATGCGAGTCTCGAAACGTTTCCATTCACACATAATTCAACATTGTCTGCCGCCTCTCGGCACTTTCCGTCTTTTCTCGCCCATTTTTGGTGTTGGAAGGCTGCCGACAGCCCATGTATTTACATTTCTTCCCCCCCCTCCTCTTCGCTCATGTCTTTTTTTGCGTTCTTCGCATTCTGACAGCTCAAATTTCTGGTTACACGCGGATTTGGTCGAAAATTGCAAAGTTTTCAGTTCAAATTATGGGTCGACTCCAATTTCTATGGATGCTGGCGGTTTTCGGAGTTCAGGTATGTGGCAAACGGGTCTGGAAGCTCGGAGAAGATTTGCAAAAGACTTTTACCACTGGGCGGAATCGAACCCGTGACCTCTAGATTACCGGTGTCGCGCTTGCTCATTTTAGTAGTCTAAGAAGGTTTTTCCACTCAAACTGGCGACTTTTCAGAGAATTGGCGCCCAATTCTGCGAGGACTACATCAGATGCATGGAACAGTTGGAAATCAAGCAGCACGAGTGTCTGGCACTCGACAAAAATGTTCGGTCGGTCGAAAAAACTGGAGAAATGAGAACAAATGAGAACCTCTTTGCAGACTTCGAAGTTCCGACGCGTGTAGCCGACAGAAATGGGACAAAAAGTTGGAGTTGAACGCTCTTCACATGCGGTACGGTAGTTTTGCCAAGGCGAAGGTGTTTGACCTAGAAATAACCGAATTTGCCCGAGAAATGAAGCTGTTTCGGCCTAAAATCTCTTGCTGATATTGTCGATCATCACTCTTTTGTGCCCTCTTTTTCAGAAGAGCCGAAGTGGCGCGGGATTGTGTGCGGAAGAATCATTTGGACGCGACGATTGCCGAGTCGACGCTCGACGAGGACGCGGTCAGTTTTCGTGGCCTAGTTGTTTTCTAGGCCATTGTAGACTTCTCAAGAGTGGTTTCTGATTCCCAAACTTTCAAATTCCAAGTTTTTGCAGCGGAAGCAGTGCAATTCTCTGCACGAAAAGTTCCGATTCGCCAAGAATTTCACAAGTTTCGCGGACGACGTCACCTCGTCCACTGCCACGTCATCAAATCGAAAGAAACGGGCGGCGAAGCGGAACAAACGGGAAGTGCGCAAGAATTCGAACACGAAAGCGACCGAGTGCCGGAACGCCGCCAAACTCTGGCACAAACAGTGTTCCGCGCTGGCCAAGTGCTGTCCGCTGACTGACGAGTACGTGTTTTTTCTGGGGAAAAGTGTAATAGCTGAACAGAACAGTGTAGTGGCTGGGAAAAGCCCTAAACGGGAACACATTCAATAGATATTGTAGATATATTTTTACAGGTGCAAACAATCGACACTAGGAATAATGGATCAAATCTACGAAGGCCGCCACAAGCTCCAAGAAATGCATGTCAATAATTGTGTCTAAACAGAAATGTCTTCAATTCAATTGTTCATATTATTATCCGCTTTGTTTTCCGCTAGATTCCGTGCCAATCTCATCCGAAAATATCAACACAATTCTCAAAACTGTTTCACTTTTCCGCGCTTCCAATTGGCTAACTACACTGTACTCTTCCCATTATCATAATTTTGAATTTCTAATTTTCCTCATTGATTTTCATAATGATTCATTTGTTCGGTGCCGTATAACTCCATAAAAGTGAACAATAGCCGAAGAAAACTGTATTCACAATACAATTTTCGTAGATAATGAGCCAATTGAGGCTTTTGCTGATTTTTGTCATTTTCAGTACACTTTTTCTAGAGATTTCTGCTGACGGAGAGGTTTGTGAAAGGAGCATGCATTGAAAAAGTACATAAAGATGTGAATTTCAGAAAAGAGCCATTCACAATGACGCGTTTTTGATGTAAGTGACGAGGCGATGGATGAGAAGAAAGCATGTTTTGCAGCGTGCAAAACTTCTCGAGCTAACGTTCTGCGCCTTTAAATACGAGGAGGGTTACGGTTGAACACAATTTTCCGGCCAGAGAGCCGCTGTATACACTTTTACTTTTGTTTATCCCTCCGAAATCGGTTCAGTTCTATCAGAAAATGGGAAAAATTGTGCTCTACCGTGTCGACCCGTCAAATTTAAAGGCGCACAACTCTCGCTTGAAAAATTTTGAAATAAAAACCGTTTATATATTCAGACCGCTCACCAAAACTCGTGCTGTCCGTGTTGTTTCCCCCTCATCTTTCAGACATCTTCCCGATCCCCATGGAACACATTTGAGGTGAGTTCCTTCGAAACTACGTACAGTAGGATTTATTTCCAATTTTTAGGATTCTCAATGTTGGCGCTGAGGAGGCTGATACCAGGTGGGTTACTGTAGGGTTACTGTAATTGTCTACAATATTTCAATTTTATTCCAGACACGGCGCAGATGGATTTTCGGGAAATTTGGCAGAAAGGTACAGCAATACCAATCTTGCAGTTAAAAATTGAAAATAAGAATGTTTAGCCTCCCGAAACAGCAGGATCGTCCGAAAAGAGAGTAAGCCTACTTACAAATACTGTGAAATCACTATTTTCGGTACAGTATGGCGGCTACGGTAGTTGGCGCGGCGGTCAGCAGTGTCGTGAACAATCTGATGAAGAACGCCGCGCACAAAAACGAGGAAACACCGAAAAAAGCGGCCGATGTGCCGCAGGGAGCTATCATCGAATCCGGAGAGATTCCGCCCATGTGAGCACACTATTTTTCTGAGTTTTCCAGTGCAAAGATTCTTCAAAACAGATTTTTTCAGCTCCAATGAAATCGTTCCACTTCCATTCGTGACAATTAAAGCCAATAACCCAGTGTAAGTGAGTTTCTCGAACATTTTCCAGGTTCGATGCGCCAGTGCCAGTTATTCTTCTGAAAAATCGATAATTCAGAAAATTACATTTTTTTTAGAGCCAATGAGATAGTCGCTCTGCCAGCGGCTCAGATTAAAGCCGATGCTCCAGTGTGAGTCGAAAACAATTGCAAAAAATCGCAAACTTCCGTATAGAAAGGTATTTTTCAGTTCTAACGAGATAGTCCCGCTGCCGGTGGCTCCAATCCATGCTGACGTGGAAGTCGTCGTCGGAAACAACGTCACGAGCACTTCCACGACGGCTTCCACCGAAAAAAAGGGCTTCTGGTCGACGTTCTTCGGATCCATCAAACTTTTCTTTGAAACTCTCACTAATTCCATCGGGTAGGCGCTGAAAATTTGAAATGGCGGAAAGAAATCACTACAAACGATTTTTTCAGTGGTTTCTTCATTGATATCGGCAATCGGGTCAGTGGATTCGTGGAGAAGCGCGTCAATGTCTGAATTGTCAATTCAATCAATTATAAAACATGTTTTATCAACTTTTCCCATATTTTACCGGTGTTTTTTGACAGTTTCAGCCGTGTTAAAACTATACCCAAAATTGCTCTGCTCGTCAAGTTCCATGTAAAGTCCGTAGAAGTGTTTGCAGAAAATCGCACACCGTACCTCACCTGAGTAATCGGAATTTGCCTCCAATTCAGAATTTTTGTTGCGAAAAAAATGTGAAAACATTGATTTTTCTTATCAATTCTAACTTGTTTACAGGTAAAAACCGCTCATTTATGTGTCAAGCGATGGGCAAAATTATATTCTTCGGATTTCTGTTAGTTTCTCGATGTTTTGTCTGAAAAATTGTTCCTGAAATTGGTGAGATTAAAAAATGAATTTAGAACACTTAAAAACAATTATGTTCAATGTTTAAATAAGAAAAAATCAATTTCTGTAAAATAAGGCTAACATTTTCCGAAAAATTTCTTAAAAATCCCGAAAAATTGCAGCGGTCTCCTGATCTCATGGGCGGCTCTCTACTACCGCTACAGCGACGAAAAGAACACTTTGGCGCGAAAATATCGATTGGATCCACCGCCGGCGCTTATCGGCGCCCTCGCCGTCAATTCGGAGCTCCAGAAGGCCGAGCACATTTTGCACGGAAAAATCGATGGGCCAGAGTCGATGATTGTGGATGATGGTCGCTCTTTAGGCCCTAAAATCTAAATATTTTCCTATATTTCAGACGCCATTTACGCATCGGTTTATGACGCGAAAATTGTGAAAATTGTTGACGGAAAAATTGTGAGCAAAGTGGCCTACTCGGAAAAGGCGAAATTCTTCCCCGATTGCGGTATTTTTGTGGGAACTTTAGGCCAAAAATGGAAACTGTTACAGGACACTTTGATACGGAGCCAGAATGCGGCCGCCCGCTCGGAATTCGCCGACTCGTCGCCGGAAGACCAAAATTCGTGGTCGCCGACGCTTATTTGGGCGTTTTTATTGTCGATTTCAGCGATGAAAACAATCGTGAGTCTCAGAAACACGATTTTTTTAAAAATTCAAAATCATTTTTGCAGCAACGTCCTCGCAAATCCTGGACTCGCGCGTGCCGATCGCCGGATTCCCACCCCGTTTCCTCAACGATTTGGACGTGATCTCGGAGGACGAACTCGTCATTTCGGACAGCTCCGTCCGTCACGACCGTCGCCATTTCATGCCGCTCATTCTGGAGCACCAGCCCGACGGACGCATCATCCACCTGAAAATATCGACGAAAACGGCGACCGTCCTCGCGGACCGCCTGTATTTCCCCAACGGAATCCAACTGCTCGACGACAAAAAATCGCTGCTTTTCTCGGAATGCTCGATGGCGAGAGTCAAGAAGTTGACGATCGCCTCCGGAAAAGTGGAAATGTTCGCGGCGAATCTTCCGGGACTTCCCGATAATATCAGAGCCAGCGGACGAGGCACCTACTGGGTCGGGTTGGCCGGTGAGCAAGCCTATTTCCTACTACAATCTGTTAACACTTTGCAAAATTAATAACAGTCTCGGTTTGGAGTGTCTGTCTTGAAAGTGTCATGCTGAAAACTGGCGACGTTACGGTTCCAAATCAACATATCCCCAAATAGACTGATCATGTCCGTTTGAAACTTTCAAGGCAGACATTCTAAGCCTAGACTGATAATCTTGAAAAGTTAGAACCCCATCAAATTCGCGATTGCAGCCACCCGCACCGCATCGGCCCCATCCCTGCTGGACCGTCTCGGAAACGTGCCGGGAATCCGTCAGTTCCTGGTCGACATCGTGCCCGCCTACGCGTGGAAACCGCTCCTCGGCCTGTTCAAGAAACCGCACGCGATCGTCGTCGAGCTGGACACGAACGGTAAGATTGTGAGAAGTCTGCACGACGTGGCCGGCACCAAAGTTGGCGACGTCTCGCAAGTCACCGAGCACAACGGAGCACTCTACTTGGGCAGCTTCGCCGAACCGTACATTGCCAAATTGAAATTGTGAAATTATTGCACTTGCCTTATTTTTGAGGGTGATTCGTCTTATATGGGTTATGTGAAACGAATAAATCGTGTTCAGGGCAATCCCATAATTGTTTCTTTAAATTTTATGTCTTGTTTTTCGGCGTGTAAGAAGTGCAAAAAAGGGAGAGTGAGTCACGGGGTCTAATTGCCACGTGGCTTTTCGCTTTTTCATTCTGCTTGTCAGGAATGTTGTAATTCTTTTTGTGAAGAGGAATGTTTATTGGTGAAATATTGAAACCAGCCCAGAAAGGCGTTATTGTTCTCAATCTTTACATTCCTCACTGTTGCTGCTTGAAGAGGTAGAGGAAGAGTGTCCGTGTCCATGTCCATTTCCATGCCCATGTCCATGTCCATGTCCATGTCCATGTCCATGTCCATGATCTCCCTTCGGTGGCAGTGTTGTGGTCGTCGGCGGGTTCTTGCACTGCAGCTCGATATAATTGGTCGTGTGGCTGCCGGACACGTGGGCCACGCCGATCGGGTACCAACTGGGAGTTCTGAGACGGAACGAGTAGATGGGACTCTGGTTGAAGAACAGATCGAACGTGAGGCCAGTGTATCTGGAAGTCACGAATATTGGGGAGAGTAAAATCGATGAGCACACTTACACGAAAGCGAGGTTATAGGGCTGTCCAGCCCGGAACGGCTGCGGAGCGAACTCCTGACCCGTCCATCTTCCGTTGATGAACGCGTCGTAAATGGTGGTGGGCCTCGTGTTGATATCATTTCGGAAATGGATTGCAATGTCGTTGGTGACGTTGATAATAGCCAAGTTGAAGCGAACTCTGAACTCGGACTCACTGAATCTTTCGAATAAACTGCCTTACGTTCCGGGCTCGTAGAAACGGTTCCGTCGACAATGAATCGATCGCCGGGTTGCATTGCATTGAGGAACACGGTGTCCATGTTACCGTACTCGCCATACTGTAGAAGCACTCGTATTTTAATACGTGCAAAACGTATTATTTGTTATCATTCTCTCGCATCCCAGCTTTCTGGGATTCATCTGAGCAAGCGCGTATCCCGCGAAACAAAGAAATAGAGGAAACATGAGTTTGATTGAACATTGAGCAAAACGTGTTCATCTTATACTTTCTCGGTGAACCCTTCGCGGCGCCAATAACTTTTTATTGCGTCGCCTACGGCTCGTGCAGATTGCTGAACTCTCGCGCACAATTCATATTTCCGAATCTCAGCTCTCCATGTATACTTTTTTGTTGGACCGTATTTCAGTTCTGGGTGAGCTGCACAGTGTGTCAAAAAAAAGGCCACGTGTTCTTGAAGAGGCGATTGTATTCGATGTTTCGTGTTTCGCTGAAAATCGTAAAACACCAAAAAGCATAGGCTTGCAATAAAAAGTTGTCCACCGAGAAGGTATAAAATGAACACGATTTGTTCAATGTTCAATCGAACTCATGTTTCCTCTATTTCTTTGTTTCGCGGGATACGCGCTTGCTCAGATGAATCCCAGAAAGCTGGGATGCGAGAGAATGGTAACAAATTATGCGTTGTACGTATTAAAATGCGAGTGCTTCTACAGTATGGCGAGTACGGTAACATGAACACCGTGTTCCTCAATGCAATGCAACCCGGCGATCGGTTCATTGTCGACGGAACCGTTTCTACGAGCCCTGGAACGTAAAGCAGTTTATTTGAAAGATTCAATGAGTCCGAGTTCAGAATAAGCATCAACTTGGCTATTATCAACGTCACAAACGACATTGCAATCCATTTCCGAAATGATATCAACACGAGGCCCACCACCATTTACGACGCGTTCATCAACGGAAGATGGACGGGTCAGGAGTTCGCTCCGCAGCCGTTCCGGGCTGGACAGCCCTATAATGTCGCTTTCGTGTAAGTGCGCTCATCGAATTTACTCTCCCCAATATTCGTGACTTCCAGATACGCCGGCCTCACGGTCGATGTGATCTTCAACCAGATTCCCATCTACACGTTCCGTCTCAGAACTCCCAGTTGGTACCCGATCGGCGTGGCCCACGTGTCCGGCAGCCACACGACCAATTACATCGAGCTGCAGTGCAAGAACCCGCCGACGAGTGCACCGCCTATGAGAGGAAATCATGGTCATGGTCATGGTCATGGACACGGCAAAGATTCCTCTTCGGACAGCAGTGAGGAGTGCGAAGATTGATTGTGAGAACAATAAAAACTTGTGTATTGGTTTCGATTCCACCCATTACAAATGTAACTTGGTACTTGTTCTGAGCAATTGTCATATGAGTTTGAAGATTTGTAAACACAACTAATGTGACCCCAGTTAGCATCCATTCCCACAATACTTTCCAATATCATCAATTCCCCGTTATCAACATGAGATAGATATTCGGAATCTTCGTTTGCGGTCTCCTCGCCGGACAAACTGTGAGCCAAGAGACTTCGACAATAAGGTATGGATCCAATGATGTTGCACATGTGCTTTATAACTCTGTTTTCAGCGCCCGTGTCCGGGCAAC